TGGTCTACTGCAGTCGCTTTCAGACTGGTTTTCCTGCCTCCGTGCTTGCCCTTTCCTGACCCCCAAGTCTGTCATCCAGAGTAAATGTCGTTGCTTTTGGTTTAACAACAGCCAGAGTAAATGTTTTAGACATAGATCTGATTACACACACACGTACACAGACCTTACGAGGGTTTCCTGTCACACAAAGGATGCGGTCTCATTCTTACTGTGACCCAAAGCTCTCGGTGATCTGGCCCCTTCTGCCCTCCGTTCTCCTCTCCTTGGGTTCTTCGCCTTGCTCATGCTGCTCCAGCAACCGCAAAGTGTGACCCTCTGCTGTTCTGGAGCACTTCGAGCTCTTTTTTTTGACTCAAGAGGGCATTGCCATCTGCTGCCCTCTCTGCTTGGAATGTTCATCCCCTGGATATGAAGAGATGATTCCTTCTCGCCTAATTCGCTTTTCAATTATCACCTCCTCTTGGGTGAAATCTGCCTTCCTGGGCTGTGCTGTCTAGGATAACATCCCTCTCCATATTACCTGGAAGTATTTACTTCTCTGCTTGTTTAATTCTCATCTCCCCCACCAAACTGCCAAAATGTAATTTCCCAGATGACAGAGACTCCGTCTGTCTCATTCATGACTATGTCCTCGTGCTTGAATAGTGCTTAGTCCATAAGACATACAGTCCATATGTGATGACATGTGGGTAAAAGGAGGAAGGGAGAAGGAGAAAGAGAGAAAGGTAGGGAGACGACGGGGGAAGGAGGAGGGAGGGAGGGATTCGAAGTTCCGTAGCTGGAGACCAAATCACGAGGACTAGAGATTTTTCATGGGAAGCATGTGCAGCCTCTCTGGCTGGCCTTTCCCCACTGTCACTAACAAGGGATTCTTGTTTGTAAAGCATGCTGAATTTTTTACGTGTAGGACTTGAATTCAGTGTAGTATCCCATTACACCCTGATTCTATTTGCTGCCATGCACATAAATCCCAGCATATCGAGAAGAGTCAGGAAAAGCCCAGGAATACGTTACCGGGTTGCACGGAGGGAGGGAAGGGACGAGTAAATGGGGGTGACCCAAACAGCAAAGACAAAACTCGTTGTCCGAAAGAGCTACTGCACATTCGAGTGGGGAGAAACAAATGAACGGATTAAAGAATTATCAGTCCGAAAGAGTCTGCAGCGTTTTAACCAAAAGAGTCTGGAGGCAATAAATTCCTCCTAGGCTTCCCCAGGGCTGAACTCAGTTTCAGGGAAGGTTTGGCAAGGGCGTCTCCACGGGTCTGCTCGGGTTTCTCTCTTATTCGGAAGATCTTATTATATATACGGTAATGTTAATACACGCACATTCTCCTTACAGCAGGAATTGTTTCCTACATAACCAAGTGGGAAGAGCCACTTGGGGAAGGTATTAAAACTATCACTCACTGGCATGATGGCTCTAAGCTCAAAGTAAATGTCCCAGTGCCCCGGGAAAGCAGAAAGCCGAAAGATGATCATTGCGGCCTTCTACCTGGTGAAAGGCTCGCCACTGTCAATCCAATTGATCAGGAAAACCTCACACTTTCTTTCGAGGAGCTGAATGATTTGAATATAAATAAGCAGCTCTTTCCGCCTGTCAGTTACCTCCAGAATATTTAGTGTTGTCTCCTTTAATGATCGCTCATTACAGAGGAGTGCGAGTGAGCGGACTTAATCAGGGTAATACGGGGTAATCATCATGTGAATTTCTCCACATCGGGACTAGTTCCATCTGTTCCAAGCCATTTGTCCATGTAAAACTGTCACCATTCTGTGCCGATGACTGACAGGTGAGGCCAGACGTGCACGTTTCTCAGCTCAGACCCAGAAACTCTCTGACGTGTCCTTCTCACCGAAACAAACAGCTTAAAAGATGCAAAGGGGTTCTGTTTTGGGGACCTTTTTCTCTTTCGTTGGTCTGATGGGTGGCTCATTACAAACACTTAGCTCACCCTGGCTTAGCACAAGAGCATGGCCGAAGCCGTAGTTATCCTGATTGATGCGGTGGGATGTGGGGGGAAGGCCGGGGAGCACCACCTTGCGGTGCTCCACATCACCACCAGCTCGCAGCACCCTCTCCCCGCCCCCGGCATAGCGGCCACACAAACGCCGTGCTCCCAGGAACAGACATTGTTTATTCTGCCTTCCTCCCGTGTCAGAAGGGCGGCGTGGTGGCCCTTGTCAGCAGCCTCTGTGTGCACTCACAGAAGAGGCTGGTGATGGAAATTATTTAATGAAAAAAGAAATGTAGCTTAAACCTCATGAATTTTTGTTTTCTTCCATGGATGTCCGCGTCAGAAGACCTCCGTGAACAAAAGCTCTCTGTGAAGGGTGGCCTCTACTCCCCAGGCTAGTTCTAACAAACATGATCACAGAATGTTTGAGAACCACCCAGCCCCACAGTTGCTCTACTCTAGAAGACAAAAAGCCATCAATAAACACGAGGAGACATACTTATGTCCTTTAAGGCTCTGCACTCCCGCCATTACCTCTGCTCGTTTACTGTCCATGCTGAAAGACTGGACTGTGGTTTTAGACTCAGAATGGAATTCTTTCCACATTGCCCCTTCCGTCACCATGACTTGTTTGCAATAGCGAAGTGCCCAGACCACGCTGAAGGGCTCCGTCTGCGAGGGTCGTGACCGTGTTGGGCAACAGGGAGGAGCTAGATGGTGGGCCTGAGGCCTGATGTCTCCAGGAACAGCTGGAAAATAAAAATTCCCTTTCAAGGTGACTTTGTAACAGTTATTTCTCTTTGCCTCTGTGATGAAAAGCCTTATGTAACCGGCTTTGGTTCTGCTTCACAGAAGTACCATATGCCAAACACCAAAGGAATGAATGGGGCCGGGGATGAGGAGAAATCCGGGATAGGCCCTCGAGGAGCTGCACACCAGAGGCCCCAGGGGAGGGGCGCAGGCACGGGGCTTGGATGGAGAACCCTGGCGATAGTAGAGGGATCCCGGCTTCATCATCCTGTAGGTTGGGGTCCTTCTGCGTTGCTTTTCCAGCCTGCGGAATGCAAAACCCAAAGCACTTCTTAAGTACTTTTTTCCTTTGCACCTGAGGGAGAGGAACAAGACTGGCCCTGATTCTCGTGCTCGAATCTGGATCCTTTTTGAGAGAAGCCACTCAGGAGTGGCCTCCCTCGGTGTCTCTTTCATGACAGTCCAGCTTGTCCCCTTCATCTCACTGAAGCTGAGACAAGAACAAAGTAGAGTCCCACAAAGACAGACACGACCCGTTTAGGGAAGAATGAAAAAGTAACCTAGAGATTTACGCTCACCACTAGCGTTTTCGTATGGTTTCTTTTCCAGTTTTCTAACAGGGATATTCATTCTACGTATCCTTCATGACACCATTGGACAAAATGAAATGGTTCCATAAGGACCCGTCTCATTAAGACGGTGGGGTGTCTGCTGGGAACATATGGTCAGGTGCTAACCTGGAAAAGATTCAAGCCCCCCCAGTATGAAATAGATTGTTCCCCACTTTGTGCCCTTGTCGTGAACTGTCCAAAACCTAATGAGGTTTTAGGTCACACTGTACCCGTGGCTGGCCCTTAAGTCTCTGAGCACCTTGAGAACAAAGACCATGTTCCACTCACCGTTATCCTCCCAGGATCTAGGACCGTGGTGTTCAACTGGGGCGAATTTTGCCACTCAGGGAGTTTGACAACATCTGGGAGCATGGCTGGTTGGCACACCGGAAGAGTGGGCTGAGCTACCCCTATCTAGTGGGTAGAGGCCAGGGAAGATGGGCATCTCACGGCACACAGGACACCCCCCCCCAAACAAAGAATTACCCAACCCCAAATGTCAACAGTGTGGAGACTGAGAAAACCAGGTTTAGTTTAACACACAGCACAGTCTACCTGTTAATAAATTCCAATGTGAGAGCCTGGGTGGCTCAGTGGGTTAAAGCCTTTGCCTTCAGCTCCAGTCATGATCTCAGGGTCCTGGGATCGAGCCCCACATGGGGCTCTCTGCTCAGCAGGGAACCTGCTTCTCCCTTTCTCTCTCTGTCTGCCTCTCTGCCTACTGTGATCTCTGTCTGTCAAATAAATAAATAAATAAAATCTTTAAAGAAAATAAATTCCAATGTAATTTTCCCAAAAATAGTCTGTTAGACAAGTATAACAACAAACAGAATCAGGTACTTGTTCTCTTACTACTTTTCCCCTGAAACAACCAGCTCATGCCATAAGAATCTCATGTATCGAGAAAAGAACAAGAAAAAGGTTTCAAAGCCAGCATTGTCCCACAGACGGTTGCAGGTGTATATGGTGCTAAGTGAGTCTCTCACTGGCTTTTGCTTCGTTTAGACTGTGGACTGACTGTATCCACATAAATGTCAGCCTAATTCCTTTGTCTCTGTCTTTTGTGACCCTTTCTGTTCATCACATATATTTTATCACATAACTGCTTTAAGTTTTTCGGCAGTCCTGAATCACTGAATTATTGTGGACTGGACAACTACGACTTGGCCGTCCTGTGTTGCCGACCATTCTATGCAGTTAGAGCACAAGGGATCATTTTGCAGGCATGTCTTTTCAAAGGATGCCCCACTAACATGAAGCAGAATTACACCTGTGGCAGGGAGCTCAGTCGTCGTGGGGGAGATGAGGGATTGAGAAGCGTCCACTTGTCATGCAGTGAAGGTGCCCTTCTCCCAGCCCTGAAAGTGTCTGGTTCCACCATTTGCTTATGATGACGTTGGATGCTAAGTAGACCTGGAAAATGCAAAAGCTGTCACCAAGAAGCCAGTCATCGCTGGGGTATCTCTCTCTTATTTGACTGCCTTGGAACCAAATTGACAATTTGCTGATATAAACAAACAGACATCACCTTCCGGCTTGACCGCCTTTATCGTCAGGGTCCTGCTCCCCTCAGAACTTTTAGTCTAGTTGAAGAAAAATAGAAACCTCGAATAATCCAAACTGCCCCCAAATCTATAAATACATCCATTTTTAGAAAGTAACTGATAATTTTTCTTCCCAAAATGCTAGAGTTTTACCTTATTATCCCTTGCCTTTTTTCGACGATACAGTTTCTCATCGGGGTTTTAGCAAACGGCCTCATCCTGTTGTGAACGGCACCGAGTTGATCAAGCAGAGAAAGATGGTTCCGTTGGCTCTCCTTCTTTCCTGCCTGGCGATTGCCCAGATTTGTCTGCAATCGGTCATCTTCTACATCAATCTGGCTATCCTCCTCTGGATCGAAGTCCCTCTACTTATTGAGAATTTTTTAATCTTCATGTTTGTAAATGAATTGGGACTGTGGTTTGCCTCGTGGCTCGGAGTTTTCTATCGTGCCAAGATCGCTCCTATAGCTCACCTACTTTTCTTCTGGTTGAAGATGAGGATATTGAAGCTGGTGCCGTGGCTGGTCCTAGGGTCCCGGCTCTATGCATCCGCCCCCTCTGTCTTCTACAACAAACATACATGGGTTTTTTTCCCAACAAGTTTTTTTGGGTTTTTTCTCCCCAAACACAACAACCCAAATCAAAGAGAAGTCTGCCTTACAGATCACCTTTCTTGTGAGGTTATCATTGCCGCTACTCATCTTCCTCGCGTCTGCCCTGCTCTTGATATTTTCCCTGGGGAGACACACCTGTCAGATGAGAAACACGGCCATGGGCACCAGGGTCCCTAGCACGGGTGTCCACATGAGATCGCTGCTGTCCGTTCTGTCCTTCCTGGTCCTCTGCGTCTCCCACTACATGACAGCTGCTTTGCTCTCTCTCAGATTTTTAAGCTCAGGAGTCTCATGTTTTTGTTTTGTGTCTGGGTGTTTGGGTCCTTTCCCTACGGACACTCTATGATTTTAATTTTAGGAAGTCCTAAACTGAAACAAAATGCAAAGAAGCTCCTCCTTCACGGGAAATGCCTCGAGTGAGACAGAACTTGGATCCATGTGAAGAAGCCGCAGTTCCCCACGGTAACGCTTTCATCCCTCCATCGCTCAAACAAAGCCACCTGCGTGTGAACACACAAAACATCACCTAAACATCACGTTTGTCCAACGTGAGGCATTTTTATAGATTCACTCCTTTTTCAAAGGGTTAAATTGATTTCCAAAGTGCGACACACACGGGTGGGTTCCGTCAATGTTGATAACCTGGTTGTGATATTATACTCTCGCTTGGAAGCTGTTTCCTCCCTGGGAAAGAGTGGGTGAGTGGTACTGGGGTCTATCTGTGTTATTTCTCACAACTGCCTGTGAATCAACAATAATCTCAAAATAAAAAGTTTAAGGTAAAAGGAAAGGGTGTTTGAACTCGTAATGGCCAAAGGATTTAGGAATCCCGTGGGGTCCCTGGGCTTCTGACACCTCATCTTAGATGATCTAACCTGAAAGGACTGGCTGCCACTTTCTTTCTACTTGCAGATTATTTTTGCTCTGTTTGTTAGAGTCACGGACAATGGAACCATTCTTCCTCATCAGATCTGAGAGGAAGCTGAGGACAAGCAGGCTTTCTCTGTCCGTGTGATTTTGCTCACCGACCCCACACAGCTGAGATGCCAGATGCCAGGTTGTCATGTCCCAGCGACTGCTAAAAAATTTTTTTTAATTAAAAAATTTTTTAAAAGCAGATGGAAAAGGAATCCAGGGCTGGATTTTCCATTTCCCCTAACTGGACACACGGACCAGAAAATAGCTTGCAAAGATGCTTCATTTTTGCATTTGTGTGCTGGGCTTTGGGACCTTTTCAACCGACAGTAACAAATTAGGACTCCTACCACACTGCCTGTCTTTCCCAGTGAAGCAACGTCTGTAGGTGGGTGGGCTGAGGGTGTTTCCATCTGCTTCAAGTCACAGATGCATTTTCTGTTTGTGTGATGATTTTAGATGCTAAGATGTGGGGTGTGTGTGTGTGTGTGTGTGTGTGTGTGTGTATTTCTAAAACAGCTTCAGAACCCCTAGCTTCTGGTGAAGTGAAGATGTTCCTCTGTTTGGCTAGAACTTGATGGTCACGTGTGATGATGGAAAGCCTCTTTGGGTTTGGGTTTGCCAATTGCTGTCAATGTAGCTTCCAATACTAGCCCAAGACGTGCTGGCTTGGTTGCACCAAACTAACAGAGGTCTTTGCTTCAGAAGACGCAGGAAAGCATTTATCTTTTTGGGTGTGGGGACTGAGCTCTGAGGCTACTCTTCCTCTGTCCATGCATCCCATCCTTCATTCCCTGGAGCAAATTACCAGCCTCCATCTTCCCCCTATTTCATTTTCCTTCGTCCCAGCAGGTGGGAAGGTGCATAACCAGTCATACCCATAGACATTTGGCTCTGGGAACAGCCGTTGTATCCTGCAGGTGATGATTGTCCCCGCTTTGAGAAGGGACAGTGAAGAGTTACTTTTACTTTCTGTGCATCTCCAGTTCAGATGCTGGATCTTTGAATCATAGTGTGTGTACCAGCAGGAGGATAGAGAGAGAGTGGGAGTGATTTCAAACATTTGGGAAGAAATTCGTAAATACACAACTCTTGTGTGATTTTTTTTCCCCCTCAGATACCAAATTCTGATTCTATTTCATGCAACTTCTGCTTTAATAATGCTAATTAATGAGATAAATATTAAGGTACAACTGTTTGTATACCTAAAAGTTACCAAGCAGTTCTAAAGAAGAGAAGGCAGGCTAAAGAAAACTATTCTAGAAACATTTTCACAGTCTGCTTTCCTTGAAATATTTCTTCCAGAAATGTTGTTTAGCTATCACTTTGGTGGATATTGTGTAGGATGGTAATTACTCCATTGGAGAAGCAAAACAGACTCAGCCTTTGGTCTGTCCCTAGCAGCTCTTGTCTGGACTCCTTAGCCTGGACAGATGCCTTTTGTCCTGCCCATCTAGCCTCGGGTAGAATGGGGTTAGCCTACAGAGAGACACAGATTCTTCCTCTATACTAGGCCTGCATCTGTAGGGATTGACTGGCCATTGTGGCCCCTGGAAGACTTGACTGGGGTTCACATACCCATGGGTTGGGCCAGAAAGCAGAGAACCACAGAACACAGTGCTATGCATGCTTTATCCCCTGTGGTCTCCCATTTGGAGGAGATCGGGCATCCCTGCTCAGTCAAGGACAAAGGAGTATGGGTTACCAGGCAGGGTCTTACTGAGAAGGGAGCCAGCATAGCACCCCATTCCATTTCAGACAGGGGCTCTGTAAGCAGCCTCAGACCAGAATGTCAGGCTTGCTGCATCACGTCCCATTGCCCTTTCTGACATGGACTCCTTCGGAGCCCGCGCTACAGGGATTCTCTGTGGCTTCCAATGACTAAACATGGTGGCCAACTGAGAAGGCTAAATCTGGGCACTTCTATTAACACATCTTTCAAAGTATAAAAGCTATAGCGATTTGAATAGTCAAAAAATAAACCCAACAGTTTGGAAAGTCTCACAAACTACAAATGCCTTTTAAATCCTCAGTCACTCACTCATTCAAATATAATAACTGCTTGAAGATAGAATAGTCTGGACCTGAAAGCGCTGGGAGCACGTTAGCATTTAAAGTCTGCCAGTCTCCAGGCTGATGATGATCACCCATTCCAGAAAGATCTTACACCGTGTCATATGCTGGAGGGAATGATACTTGTCAGATGATAAATATTCTCATCCTAGGCTTGGGGACTATGGTTGCCATAACTTTTTTCCACAGGGACCTACATCTCTATGGGTAACAAGAGGGACAGGTAGTCAAAAATATCCAGGAGAAAAGGAAACCAGGCAGATCATCCAAATAGACTTTGGCAATCAACGGGCTAACAGATGTTACAAACAGATGGCACCCATACTGGAGAGAGCTCCCAATGACAGGGGCAGGGAGCCCCCACATGTTTGAAAAAGTGTCTAGCTAAGGTATGAGCTCAGAAATCAGAGTAGAGATGGTGTTAACACAAACTTAGAATCAACGGTATGTTCTTATTTTTAAAAATCATTATCTTGCCACCCAATAATTGCAGACTGTCTTCTGAAATCTTAATGCCAGGGAAAGGGTAGGTGCTGGGGAATCTGTCTCAATGAGCTGAAAATATTAAGCTTTGGGGGAGGGCTCACATAAATTCAGATGGCTGGTGGACCCTCCCTTCACCATCTTTCCATATTGAGCCCGCATCTCCCTCTTTCCTTGATACACTAAAGTACTTGATCTATCACTCCATACCTTCACAGGATTAAATACTGGTTGTTTTTAAGATGTGATGTGAACATTTGGTTTCATATCTGTGACATCTGGATCTACTTCATCATTTTGGCTGGGGGTCAGGAGTTGGTGATTTTAGCCTATAATTTAAAACATATTCAAATCAATGAAGTGTAGGTTTCCTTTCTCTCTCTCTCTCTTTTTTTTTTTTTTGGTGTTTTATTAGTTTCTGTTCTAAACAGTTCTCCACAAGATCATCAACATAACATAATATTAAATAAAATATCCCCTTAGATGTCTGAAAATATGCCCATTTTTAAAACGATGACCGAGAATTCATGTTACGTCAACCTCAACATTCTTGAGAAAAGAAATACTCTATTTCTGAAGCTGGAATGCAGGTTCCTAAATGAAATCTTCACCTTCTCATAACTAAACTCTCTCTTCTCAGAGATCTCGTAAGTAATGCATGTAAGTACGGGCTGATGTGTAACTGGGTAGAATTTGAATTGGAGAGTATCTGAGGTCCTGTAACTAAACTGGACTCAGCACATGCTTTGGACATGCTTTGGATGACCTAAATTCTAGAACCACTGGGGAAACTAGATTCTTTTGAAAATAGGCAGGTGGAAGAGGATTTTGAAAATAAAGAAGTGGCTAACAGTGGGACAGGCTATCACATTACTGAATATACGGATTGTTCTCTGGCCGTAAACCCAGTCATTTAGAGAGCAGATGTTGTACTTGTGATTGCAAATTAATGTTTTACTCCACTTCAAACCTAGGCGATTGGCTTCCAGAGAACACTGACCAGATATGGCCAGGAAGCTCAGCTTTATGATAAACATTTGCCAGCACATTCACCGCTGCTTGTCTGTTCTAATGCGTGGAACTCTTGAAATAAGGACTTGTGCCTTTGATCATGGAGGCATGATGTTCTTAACGGCACTGGTTGATGATAGATCCGGAAGACAGGCTCTATGGAAGGAGAGAGGAAACCTTGAGCATAATATTTAGATTCAGAAACCTAAGTGGATTTGTATAATACCATATAAAGATAGGGAATTTGTCCAGACACAAGCCAGACCATTGCATTTTGAGGCTGATAACCTGGCTTTCTCTGTTCTTGCTAAAACCGTACCTGCTATTTTGGTCATTTCAGCAACTTCTGTGCAATGCAGGAAACATAGAAAGAGCTGATCCTCTCTTCCTTGACCTGTGAGATGGGGATAAAAAGGATGGATACCACATACTTAACAAAGTTCCAGGTACTTAACTGTGAGCTCTAACGATGTGACTCCCAAGCCCTTGGGGACTGAGGTCTGTACTCGCACGAGGAATACCCAAGAGCACTCTGGGAGAGGAAGAGAGCACCCTGGGAAGGAACATGTTGAACAACAGAGGGTCACAAGTGAAACTTGATGTGGAATCTAGATCCACTGCCAATAAGCTGGGCGGGGGGGGGCTTAAAAAAACCTATACAGCTTGTTTCCCCATCTTTGGAGTGGGGGTGTGAGTAATTCAAGCTTTATGAGAGGAGTTGGTGAGCAAGTGGAATCAATGCCTTGTTGCTACTAGTGTTTTCAGTTGTTAAACTGTATACCCCTACTGACACGTGACCATTTTGGACCTGCAGTGAGGGCAGTTTCACGTATTTCCTGCTAATCATCCATCAAAACAATCAATCAGAGGGCTTGGAGGGGAGCTAATTGCAGCCAAAGGAAAGAGCATGCATAGAGCTACGTGGGCAAGAAAGGACA